AGTACAATTTGGGAGGATTGATAGGTAGAGGTAGGATTCAGGACTCTCAGGCAGTCAGGGAAGGAGTCTGGTCTCAGGTATGCAAAGGCCAGGTGGGTGAGGGAACAGGCTTTGAGGGTTCCAGGGGACTAGACTGAGAAATTGTGTTGGTCTGGGTGCAAAGGATCAGGAAGCAGTGGGGAATCTGGGCCAAGAGGGTAGTCTAAGAGGGTAGTCCAGAGAGGTCTGGGGTGCCAAGAGAAGAAATGGTCCAAGTGCCCAATGTAGGAGAAGAGCCAGGGTGCAACCAAGACAATTTATAAGAGAAAGAGTTTATTTGAGCCTAGGGTTCTAGGGATAAGTGTCTTTAATTGCAGCAAAGGTGGCAGGAGCAGAAAGCCAAGCAGTCACATCTTGAAGCAGGCACAGGAGGCAGAGAGACAGAAGAAATCATCAAGGCTTGAGAACTCTCAAACCCTGCCTCCAGTGACTTGCTTCCTCCAGCATGGCCACACATCCTAAAGATTACTTGACTCTCCCAAACAGTGCCACAAACTGGAGACCAAGTGTCTCAATACTTGGAGCCTATGGGGGAACCTCATTCAAACCACCACTGCCTCCTTTATGAGATGCAATTAACTTTACAATCTTTATTTAAAAATATTTTATTTTTATTTTATGTGTATGAGTGTATTGCCTGCATGTACGTGAGTGCACCCATGTTGTGCAATGCCGCGGAGGTCAGAAGAGGTCTTCAGATTCCCCTGGAACTGGAGTTAAGGATAGCTCATAGCCTCCATGTGGGTGCTGGGAATCAAACTCGGGTCCTCTGCAAGAGCAGTCAGTGCTCTTAACCGCTGAGCCACCTCTCCAGCCCCTAACTTTACAATCTTAATTCAAATGAGTATTTCTTCTTCATCTGTAAGAGTAGGCCATGTTCTTTCTTCATGATGGTTAGGTGTTTCATGTGCATTCATATTTCTAAAATATAGCAGAAGGTTCTGTGTGTCTTTGAGATGACTTTTGTGTGCATTAAAATTTATTCTGAAGAAAGGAAGATTTAAACCTTTTAGATAAAACTAAATTGAATATGGGCAGCCATTTCTAAATCTTAAGCTTTATTGTCTGTGATTCTGGACAAAGGGGAGTGGGTAAAAGAGTTATTGAGCTTTATTATGTCCTTAAACTCTTGTTCCAGTCTTAGGAAAAGAAATTTTAGCTCTTCTGAGCTATCATCCTGTCTCTTCTGTGCTCTTACAATTTATTTTTTTGTTATTTTTATTTTGTATATATGAGTGTATTGCCTGCATGTATGTAACTACACCTGTGTTGTGCAGTACCCACAGATGTCAGGAGAGGGTGTTGGATCCCCCCGAACTGGATTTATGGACAGTTGTTAAGTGCAATGTCGGTGCTGGGAATCAAATCCAGGCCCTCTGCAAGAGCAGCCAGTGCTCTTAACTGCTGAGCCATCTCTCCAGCCTCCCGAACTTATATTTTTCAATTTATATTTTTTTAGTTCATATTTATTAGCTGCCTTGACCCATACACCTGCAGTAATGCCCCAAGACAGGGAAGGCCTAGGCTTTAGCTGTCTGTAGAAAATAGAGTATCAACTCCAGCTTATTTCCACCCTGTCTGCTCTTGTTTCATCTCGTGCATTGACTGTCTTGTGGATTCTTTGTGGAATAAGTTTCAGTTTTAGGAGCTGTCTGCTCCTTTTTCCTCATTCTGCAATAAGCAGTGGAATACACATTCCTTCCCCAGCCTGCGTGAATGTGGAGCACTGAAGAGACTTACTTTCCAAGACAGTGCAGTGCAAGCAGGTCTGAGGCTCATTATTCTTTGGCATTGCCTCCCTGCAGCAGGCCCTGTACTCCAAGCCATCTCCCCTTCATTTCAAATACAAGTCAAAGCCACTGTCCTAGCCTCCTCTCCAAATGTAGTAGTTTTCTGATGGTCTTTCACCTGGTTTCTTTTTCATAACATTTTTTCGCCAACAGGTGGCACTAGTAATTTCTTTTATTTAATAATTCTCCAGTAGTAAGCTTCATGTGGCATTCAAACATATTTGCATTTTTAAAACTCAGTTGATTTTGAGTATCTAAGGCAAAAACTATGTAGCATTTCTAGCCTGTAGCATAGTGCTTTCTTGTTGGATGACTGGCTTTTAGGTCCAAACAATCTCCTCTGTAAAAAAATTATTTATTTACTCTGCGTGCACACACACGCAGAGTGTGTGTGTGCATGCGTGTTCATGTACCATGACATGAGTGTGGTCAGAGAACAACCCAGAGGAGTAAATTTCTCTCCTTCCACCATGTGGATCCTAGGGATTGATTTCACGTCATCAAGCATGGCAGCAAGTGCCTATCCACACTGAGCATCTTGACAACTCACAATATCTTCTTAAATTCCTCATCTGTACCTTGATTGGCTCTGCACAAAAAAAGGTGAATAAAAGTTATGAGAAAAAGCTAGGAGTAAATATAAAACACATTTTTTTAAAGTCCTTTACTACAGGGGAAAGAATGACTTAAATGTGAATTGCCTGGGCTAAAAGATGAAATTGAATTTTGAACAATTCTGAACATTTATTATAGAGACACTTCATGAAGAGGACATGTCTATAGATTCTGTGTGGTAGAGTGCACAGAATTTAAAGTTCAGACCTTACTTTCAAAGTTTTACTTTAGTTGAGCTAAGGCAGGTATACAGTGTGCAGTTATGTTTAAAGATTTATTTATTTATTTATTTATTTGTGTGTATGTGTGTACACCACATGTGTATGGATGCCCACTGAGCTCAGAACAAGGTATCACATCCCCTGGAGTTGGAGTCACAGGCAGTTGTAAGCCACCACTATGAGTGTTGGGAACTGATGGGCAGCAAGGATTGTTAACCACTCAGCCATCAGTCAAGCCTCTACAATGAGAGTTTGCAGGAGAAAGACGACCATTCATTCCTCCATGTTTGTTAAACATACTTTATATCAGCATTCTTGTCATAGAGAATAAAATTGTGAACAAAGCAGACAAAATCTTTGCTTCTAGGGAAAGCATCTCTTGAGAGGCTATAATTGGTAGGATCTCAAGATGCTGTCATAGCACATGAGAATTGTGTTGGTACATTTTGAAGAAGTCCTGGGAAGCTAGAGAATGGTCAAAGACATGAGTATAGAGGACTACAGACATGGTTGCCGAGGGGTGGGCCCTGGCAAAGAGTTTAACTAGCTTTGGGAAAGCTCTGCAGAGTTGGAACTAGCTGAAGAATGGGCAGGATTGGGGTGATAAGCACATTGCATGGATTTTCTCACAACTCATCACATCTGCTGTAGAGATAGACACAGTTTTTATCCCCACTTAACAGATGACACAGCAGTGCAGAGGGACCATGCAAGGAGTGATGGCGGTGATTTGTGAAGTGTGACATTCATATTCTTGTTCTTGAAATAAAAGGCATTAAATGTGTTAGCACTTGGGTTTCAGAAATCTGCAAAAACAGAAGAGCAGCTTTTGCCTTTCTCTGTGGAAAGAAGCAGAGAGAGGTAAGGCTGACTCTGTGGGAGAAGCTGCTAGGTACCTTGGCTCTGGTTAGACATGTATTTATAAGTTTGATTGTTTTGTTGTATTTAGTTAAACTTTTCAGTCTAGTCAGAGTCTGAGAGGGAAAAATCAGTTCTCATTCTCTCTCTCTCTCTCTCTCTCTCTCTCTCTCTCTCGTAATTGAACGTAGGCCCTTGTGCATGTTGAGCAAGTGTTCTACCCTGATCTATATCTCAGCCCAAGAGTTTGCCCTTGTGACTTTAAGTCCTCAGGAAGCCAACATGCTCACAGAGTATCTCTGCTTGCAAAGGAAGCATGTAGCTCCTTGACACAGGCCAACACTGTTCCATCTATTCCACTGTTCTCCATCTGTCACTGCCCTTTGGGCAGGAAACACTGTGACTCAAGTTTCTTAATGAGGTATGCATCTCAAGGGAATGTAGAATGTGGGATATATAGCCCTGTGAATGAGACCAGAAGACCTATCCCTCCCTTCCCTTTCCTCATTGCAAGGGGTACTGAGGACATTGACCATCTGCAGTTGACTCAGCATTACTCACAGGAGTGTTAGTCACTGAGAACACTCTCAAGTGGTGCCTGGAAGGGCTATTGGGATGTACTACAATAAGAATAGACAGTTCCTGTAGTTATAACCTGGTCTCTCACTCAAAATTTAACAATCTTAGGAAAATAAAATTTTATTATTTTAGGTGTGATATTTGTGTTGCAGTTATCATTTTCAATTTTCCTTCCTTTGCAAGATATGTATTACTGGGGCTGGAGAGATAGCTCAGCAGTTAAGAGCACTGATTGCTCTTGCAGAGGACACAGGTTCAATTCCCAGCACCCACATACATAACAACTGTCAGTGACTCCAGTTCCAGGGGATCTGACACCCTTTTCTGATCTCCATGGGCACTGCACAACACAGGTGCACTTACATACATGCAGGCAATACACCCATACACATAAAGTAAATATGCTAAAATAAAATAGAAATAGGAATAATAAATCAAAAATAAAGACAATAAATAAAATAAAAAAGATACATAGTGGTTTGAGCTGATAAAACATGAGTCTGAAGTTTGTTTCAAAACCTGGTTCAGCATAAAAGAGTTTAGTGAAGGGTGTGTTTAGAAATGAGATTGACCATGAACTAATCCTTATTAAACCTGGGCAATATTTACCTATATTTTCTCCCTATTTTGTTATCATCTCAGTTTTCCGTAGTTAAATCAAATTTGCTTGGTAATGGTCATGAGATGGAGGGTCTGTCTTTGGCTATGAATGGACAGGTTCTTGTGCCAGGCTGTTGCTTTGGTTTGTGTGGAGATCCTAGATGAGCTGAGATGGTGACTGGGAAAGTGGCTGTGTTCCACACATCAGAGAGTATGTGCTCAGAGCCTGGTAAATACTGAATAAGCAGAGGAAAGCCCAGAGACTGCAGCTCTGACCCTTCTCTTCTTGTCTCTGCAGCGGAGCCCAGGGGGAATATGCTGGACTGGCCACTATCAGAGCATACTTAGACCAGAAAGGAGAGAGGCACAGAACGGTGAGCACGGGCAGGTGGTGCAAGCTCAGCTCTCAAGGTCCCTTTTGTTGGTGGGATCCGCCTTTTTCCACTCTTCTTGGAAGCAGACAGGACAACATAATAATCGAGAAACTTTCCTGTGAAGTGACCATCACGAGCCTTGCCTCCCAGACATCCCACATAATCATTTTGAGGGAAAACATTCAGAGATAAAAGGCTTTTGTGCAAACCCGGCATGTGGAGTCAGCCAGCTGGCTCTCTAGGGAGCAGCAGGAGGCAGGGGCAGGAGTCTTGCCATTGTGCCCTTCCTCCTTGGCTCATCCTTGGCTCTGGGCCTGAAGGAAAAGCAGAGATGGCTAAGCACAGTCTGGGTCATATGTATGCCCAGAAGAGATTTACTGAATAAATAAACTCCCTGTGAGATGATTCTCAACTCTAAACAACTGTGATGTGGAGCAGATTTGTAATTCTACCGCAGTTTACCATGGGTGTGGGAGTCAGGGCTTCAGGACCTACCCTACCTTGTGGAGGATTTCCTGGGGACCAGCACATGCTACTGGGCATCACTAGCGTTCTAGAAAGGTGTCTTATGATCTTTAACCAGGTCTCTAGTTGTCTGTTCATTTTGGAGGCCAACACTATGCTAGAGTTTCTTCTGAGCTATGGGGGTGGAATTTTTAGAGGGAGTACAGGGTAGAAGTTAGGAGCAGAGCAAAGGCCCTGGTTGTTGCAGGAGAGTTCCAGTAGGTTCTTGCCACCTAAGTAGGTAGTATGGGTGAGTGGTGGCCCAATCTGAGGTCCTTCCTAAATTTATTAAGGCTGGAAGATCTTTTTTTGTATTTTGTTTATTTTTTATAATTGTTTTATGTGTTTGAGTACATTGCCGACATGTATGTGCACCCATGTTGTGCAGGGCCTGCATAGAACAGAAGAGGGTGTCTGATTACCTGGAACTGGAGTTATGAACAGTTGTTAGCTGCCGTGTGGGTGCTGGGATTCAAACACAGGTCTTTTGCAAGAACAGCCAGTGCTTTTAACCACTGAACCATCTCTTCAGCCTCATAAATGGAGTCTGATATAGTCTTATGGCCTCATGTGCTGAATGCAAATGAGGACGCCTTAAACTCCTGAATCACCTGCCTCCTCCTCCCAAATGGCTAAGATTACAGTGTTGAGCCACCTTGCCCAGCTTGTTTGCTTTTTTTGTTTGTTGAAATAGGGTCTCGGTACATAACTCAGGCCACTCTTGAACTTGCAGTTATTTTGCCTCATTGTCCTAACTGTTGGGATTACAAATATGTTCTGCCACTGCTGTCATTAGATGGTTTTTTTTTTAATTTTATGTGTATGAGTGTATTGCTTGCATGAATGTGAGTGCACCCATGTTGTGCAATGCCATGGAGGTCAGAAGAGGGTGTCGGATCCCCTGGAACTGGAGTTAAGGACGGTTAGTAGCTGCCATGTGGGTGCTGGGAATCAAATCCGGATCCTCTGCAAGAGCAGTCAGTCCTCTTAACCGCAGAGCCATCTCTCCAGCCCCTAGAATAGATTTTTTGTTTGTTTGTTTTTTGTTGTTTTTGTATTTTGGGGACAGGGTCTCCTTGTAGCTCCAGCTGTCCTGGAACTCACTATGTAGACCAGGCTGGCCTCGAATTCACAAAGGTCCACCTGCCTCTGCCTCCCAAGTGCTGGGATTAAAGGTGTGCACCACCACCACCCGCCTCCTAGAATAGATTTTTAAGTCTTTGAAAAACAAGGCATTCATGAATTTGGTCATTGAACCCTGAGCACATGTAAGGAGTGTGTGGCAGCCAGAGAGAGACCTAGCGATAGAGTAGACAGACATTCAAATAAATCCAGGCGTTTAGTTTGTTCCAGTTTTCTTGAGATTTTCATTTTTTTTTTTAACTTTCTCAGGAAGGGTTAATTTAGACTTAGGAGAGAACTGCTGAGACCTCAGAGACTCATGGGATCAGAAGGAAACTGTCCTAGTTAGCTTTCTACTGCTGTGATAAAACACTGACCAAAAATAACTGGGGAGGAAAGAGTTTTTATTTCATCTTACAACTCCTATGCCACAACCCATCTCTCTAGGAGGTCAAGGCTAGAACCTGGAGGCAGGTACTGAAGCAGAGACCGTGGAGGACTGCTGCCTTCTGGCTGCCGACTGTGGCTTGCTTCCCCTGCCTTGCTCAGCTACTTTTGTACATCCCAGACCCACCTGCCCAGAGGTGGCACTGCCCACAGGGAGTGATGATCTGAGTCCTCCTACATCGGTTAACAATAAGAAAATGCCAAAGAGACAAGCTCAGAAGTCAGTCTGATGGAGGAAAAAAATTCCTCAATTGAGGTCTCTTCTCAGGTGTCAGTTTGACAAAAACTAACCAGCACAGGAACTCTGAAGCTCAGATGTCCAGTGTTGGGACACCAGATGACCCCTGGTTTTCTTTCCTGGTTCCCAATACCATGGTCTTTGGAACAATTGCTTCTTTAGCCATGGAGTGGCTGGGAACCCTGAAAATGGGCAGGTCTTCCTGCGTAACCATGCATTTTGCATCATCATTGCCTGACAGAGAGGCCATCACACCCTACATCAGCACTGTTTGTGGAAAGTCCTAGGCTAAGTGATGATAAAGAGCCAACCAGAATTCAGGTTCTTGCCACTCTTTGGTCCTTCCCAGCCCTCAATATTTACCCATCTCCTCAGTCTGACTCCAGGGAGTGGCTGCTGTGATCTAGAACAGGGACCAAGCCAGGAAAGTCAGGAGCGTGAGAGATCCGAATCGGGTGGGACAGCTGTCTTCTGTGACTGGCTCTTTGTGGCTACTGCTTCCTCTCTGAGCATCCTAGTCCTTCTCATGCTTTGGGTGTGATGTCTTTCCTGCCACCATTGTCCATATTGTTATCATAGAAGTGTTTTGAGAGGCCATTCAGTTTTGAAATGGGGAGAGGGGCAAGTTTCTGCACTCCTGGGCACTTAGGAGAAGGAAGGGAAAGGCAAGGGAGGCCTCCCAGTCACTGAGTTTGTAGAAATACAGAACTCATGAGCCTGGGAATGTTGGCATCCTTCTAGACCAATAGTTTTAATTAAAGCCAGTTTTTCAGAGAAGAAGAAAATGACATTATTCAGTCACGGAAAATTCTTCCACATCAGTGATGTCTGAGGCAGCTGTTCCCACACAATAGGCGCTAATGGAGCTCAGGAAAATCCCCACCCCCCTCCCTTTTTGGGAGAAGAAGTTGGAAGTCATATGCTACAGAGCTGCCCCGGTTTCTGATGGCTCTCTGTCTTCATTGCTGCCTTTTTGAAGTTATTTTCACATTTGCTCTTAGGTCAAGTTTCAGAGCCTCCTGAAATAGCATGCCCAGTTCATGATTTACCAGTCTAATTTGGGAAAATGCAAATTCATCTAACAAAAGTTAACATAGCAGTTACCGTGTGCCAGTCACTAAGCGCTTTAGAATGAATATCTCATTTTGCTAGTCAAATCTCAAGTTTGTTGACCAGAGACTGAGTTTTCTACAGAAACGGAAAACGTTGACCTCCTCACATATACATATCTATGCATTTTTTGGAGACTATTTTTCTCTTCTCAACTGCCTGGGTCAAAGTAGTAGCACTGGTTGGCCTAGAACTTGCTATGTAGACCTGGCTGGCCTCAAACTCAAAGAGGTCTGCCTGCCTCTGCCTCCTGAGTGGTGGGGTTACAGGCATGTGCTACCATGCTGGATAATTCTTCGATTTTCATTCCTAGCAAAACACACACCACTCCTGCACAGAGCACGTCTTATCTTCACACATTCAGCAGTTCTTTGAGGATGACGTCTGCTGCTTCTTTACCAGGCTCCCTGGAAGTTAGGAACACAGCATCATCCACCTAAGTGGATATAAATGTGCTATATCTGGGTTCACTCTGGAGAAACCAAAACCAGATTTGGGTACTGATACTTCCCTGTCCATAACATCATGATTATATGTAAGGGGAAACTAACATTGTGAAGATAACCTAAATTCATTAAGTATACACAGGAAACAAATGTCTCCAGCGCTGCCCTCCCCACTGTCCTCTATTCTAGGCTGTGGATTGGTTTCCCGCAGCTGCTGTAACAAATGCCTATAAATTCAGTGGCTCATGACAGTGTTCAGGCCTGTCTTTCACTAGAGGCCAGCAGTGTGAAGCTGTCTAGACAGTGTGGGCAGGAAGTGTCCCTCTGGGGCTTGGGGGAGGGGGGAAGACCCTGTTTCCTCGTTCCCTGCTTCAGGTATCACAGCCCCTCCCCCTGCAGTAAGATCCTTTTGATGGATCCTTATGAGCACATTTAGAAACCAGTTGAAAATCCAGACACTCCTCCAGCCTCCACATCTTTCCTAAACTTGATCACATCTGCAGTCTCCTTTGCCACAGAAGACAACACCCACATGTTCCAAGGCTCAGGACATTCAGAACATAGGGATCTCTGAGGCTGCTTAGTCAGCTGACCACAGGGTGGTTACATTTTCAGCTGTTTTGCTTCAGCAAACCTCCTTGGTATGAATTGTAATGTTAGCCTGATAGGAATATTTTATATTCATTTTTAAGCATTCCCATCCCACCATTCTTTTCTTGGGGGGGGGGGTTCTTTTTGAGACAGGGTCTCCCTGTAGCTCCAGCTGACCCAGAACTAGCTATGTAGACCAGGCTGACCTAGAACTCTCAGAGCTCCATCTGCCTCTGTCTCCCAAGTGCTGGAATTAAAGGGGTGCACTGCCAAGCCTGTGCTCTAAGGGATTTCCATTGATCCATTTATTTATTTATTTATTTATTTATTTATTTATTTATTTATTTATTTATGAGACAGGGTCTCACTGTGTAGCCCTGGCTCGCCTAGAACAAAGATCTGCCTACCTCTGCCTCCCAAGTCCTGGGATTAAGGCATGCATCATGTCCATCCAAAAGAGACATGTTTAGGAGCTGGAGAGATGGCTCAGCAGTTAAGGGAGCTGGATGTTCTTGCAGAGGACCCAAGTTCAGTTTCCAGCACTCACGTGGAGGCTAACAACCATCCATAACTCAGTTCTAGGAGATGCAACACCTTCTTCTGACCTCTGCGGGCACTGCATGACATGAGTACACTTATATACATGCAGAGAATACACCCATGCACATAAAATTAAAAAAAAAATCAAAAAAGCTTAAAAACAAGAGACACATTTAAATAAAAAGGATTGAAGACAATGTAACTAACATACACAGCGTGTGACAAATAATCATTTAAAAGGGGCTCAAATCCGTTAGCAGAAGAGTGACAATAATTCATTCCATTTGGCTTTGGTTAAAGTTCTGTTTATAGGCATGTGTTTTTCTTAAGTACACTACTGTTTTGGAGGAAACAGCTGGAAGCTAAGTTTCCCTGTCAGGATCTCATTTATTATAACGCCCCTTCATTTCACTTCAGAGGGTTGCCCTACTGATTCTGGGGTTACTAAAAAAGGACAACATTTAGGATAGGCCTGCTTCTCCTTTTATGTTCTGTTGTGGAAAATCCGGGCTGTCGCCCCTTATCAAAATCCCGTGTGGAGACACAGCTCAGTAGTACTGCTCTTGCCTAGGAAGCATGAGACCCTGGGTTTAATGCCCTGTACCTACCCCACTTCTCACACCCTAGACGATCAATCCAATATAGGAATTGGGATGTAGCTCAGTGGTAGAGCAGTTGCCAAACATGTAAGTACCTGGGTTCATCCCCAGCACTGATATACAAAACCAAACTTCAGTGGATTGTTAAGTAACAATGCACTCTGTAGCTCTTGAGACACTTTGATTTCTTCTCCCATTTTTCCAATTTCCTCCTGTACTGTGGACACAATCATATTACTTCTCCATGTGCTAGTGTTATGACTGAATGAGTTGTATGAGCACAGGGCAGGCATTGATCATTTTTCATGCTTATTTTAGGATCCTCACACAAATTATCATTCATAGCAGAGTTAGCATTCAGTAAGTGCCGGCCCTGAGTTATGCCTGTCGTTATCACCTTTCCGTTTGAGCCAAGAGCAGTACTGTGGCTAAGATGTGGGCAGTGGAATTCTAGAGTCCAACTTCTGATCTCACCTTCTTAGAAGGTGCTTTCCATATGTTATAAAACAAGGTTAGAATAAGCACAGGACTATTTTCAGCGCTCTGGGATTGAGGAGACATTCTGAACATCTTTAGGGAGAATATTTGGAGAGGCAAATGGAAATGATTCTGACATTGTTTTGCAATAACAGCAATAATTATAGCAGATTCTAAGGCACTAGTGGTCAGCCTCAGTAAGTGCATGCGTTGCCTAATTTGTGCCTCAAACATGTTGTAAGAATTCTGGAACTGATTATTTTTCCCTTTCTCCTTTCTTGTTTTCTTTTTTTGTGTTCCCAAGGTTTGCCTCATTCCGAAATCAGCACATGGGACAAATCCAGCAAGTGCCCACATGGCAGGCATGGTGATCCAGCCTGTGGAGGTGGATAGATACGGGAACATTGATGCTGCTCACCTCAAGGCTATGGTACCTCCCCTTCATCCATGGGAGCGTTGTGGGCTGGGAAGAGACAGATGGTGGGGGTCGAGGGGCTGGGTAGACTGTGAAACCATTATCTTCTCTTGTTTTCTAATGAATGGTTCCTCCTGTGAATGGTCTTCAAGGAAACAGTGTAAAATCCAGAACCTAACAAGGTATAAGGAAAAGAGAAAAATAAAAAGCAACAGTCATGTTTTTGATCCTCAATAAAACTGGCCACATCTTCAGTGCCCCTACCTTTACCTACAAGGAGAAGGTCCCTTACACTGAAATCAATCTCTACCCCCTGATTCTTGCCTGTGTAAGATACTGAATGAATTATTCATTGTGGTAGTAAGAGTATTCTGCAGGGCCTGCCTGCCTCTTCTAACTTCTCCTGTCCAGCCTTATCTTCCCCCATTAATCGACAAACTAGCAGTCAGGGTTACAATCAATCTTGGTTTGGGGAATTCAAGTACACACGTAGATTTTGCAAATGTTTGGCTGTCCCAGCCACGCTGTGCTGGATTCCAGGCAGCATTCTACCATGTTTCCTCTAACACTATCCTCTAGTGCCAATCTCCTAACCTCCAGGAAGAGGTTGCTTAGCAACCGTATCTGCTTTTCAGCAGTGGACTAGAGGCTGCATCTTAAGTGGAACAGAAGTCAATGGAATAACGATGTGATTCTGTCAGGGTTATTAGGCATGGAGACTGGGAACCTACTTAACAGCCTTCGAAGGGAGCTGAACATACACAGCCCTGTTTGTTTCTTCCATCTACCCCTTTCCTTCCATGACCAAAGTTTTTAGCAACAAATATCTGGATCAGTAGTTGTGATTATTAAGTCCCTTCAATATAGAACATAGAATACAATTTTATCTTCTTCCCTCATGACCCTGCTCCGACTTGCTGACAAGGAAAAAACAGCTAGAAATAAGACTTTTATTTATTCTTGCCTTCTGACAAAAAAAAAAAAAAAATTTAAAACTGGGGGATGTATGCATGGTGGCTGTCCTGCTTTGCTTATTTGTTGCTGGAATAAAATACTGTGACCAAAGAACTTGGGGAGGGGAAGGGGCTTATTTCATCTTACAGATTACAGACAGTCCTCCAGGGAAGCTATGCCAGATACCTGGAGGCAGAAACTGAAACAGAGACCATGGAGGATTGCTGCAGCCTTTCTTACATAGCTTAGGCCCCTGCCTATGGATAGCACCACCCATAGCAGGCTGGGCCCTCCTATGACAACTAGCAATTAAGAAAATGTCCCCCCCATGTTCAAAGGCCAATCTGATGGGAGAAAATTCTCAGTTGAGGTTCCCTCTTTCCAGGTTTGTCAAACTGACAAGTAATTCTAACTAAGACAGTTTTACATGCCTATAAAACCAACACTTCAAAGGTGGAGGCATGAGAATCAGAAGTTTAAGGCCATCCTTGGCTACACAACAAGCTGGAAGTCAGCATGAGCTACTTGAGACCTTGTCTCCAAAAGAAAAGTGAGGGAGTCTTTTTTTTAATCAAAACGGTAACACTTCTCAAATGTCTGTGGGAAATGTCTGGGTAGAAAAATGTATGCCAAAATGAACAGAGAGAAATTGAAAGACTAGCCTTGTGTAGAGCCTCCCCTACTCCTATCCCCCCTCAAAAAAAGCTTAGGTTAATTTTTGAGAGGACTTGAACCAAAAGAAAATCATCTTAGCGAGCAGGACCCAAAACACCCAAAAATATTCTGAGCAGCCTCTTGGTTTTTGTTTAGTTTAGTGTCATTGAGACAAGGTCACATGTAATCCAGGATGGCCTCAAAGTTGCTATGTAACCCAAGATGCCCACACTTCCCCAGTTACATGGTTACAGAGTATATGACCGTGCCCAGTGTTTTATGTGGTGCTGGAAAGCAAGCCCAGGGTGTGTTGCATGCTAGGTAAGCACTGTGTCAACCGTGTCAACTGAGGAGCCCAAGCTCTTCATCACAACCACAGAACCCCGAAAGATCTCACTGTTTCTTTGGATGATTTATGAGGGAGAAATGGCTGTGAGTTTTTACTGCCTTTATACACTGACTTTGTCAGGAATGCAAAGACCAGACCTTAAGTTCCTTAACCCTTTAAATTAAAAATCAGCTGAGAAGGAAACCCTTCCCATCTTTGTCTCCCTCTTCTCTCCTCAGGTGGATAAACACAAGGAGAACCTGGCCGCCATCATGATCACATACCCTTCTACCAATGGAGTGTTCGAAGAGAACATCAGTGATGTGTGTGCCCTGATCCACCAACACGGAGGACAGGTCTACCTGGACGGGGCAAATATGAACGCTCAGGTGCATAGTGTTCCCTCTCTTAGTGCCCGCTGAAAAGAAAATAAATTAGAAAGAAAAACTTATTGTAAAGCCCAACATGGGGGAAAGTTATTTCTGGCTTCTTGAGAGTCCTTTTTGTTGTTGTTGTTGTTGAGACAGGGTTTCCCTCTAGCCCCAGTTGGCCTGGAACTGAGAGTCCTTTTTGAGACATAATACTGAAATCAGAACCACACACTTTTTCTTTTTGTTATCTTCTAGGGATTGAACCTAGAGCTTTGTAAGTGCTCTGCTGTTGAGCTGGATCTTCAATTCATGCTGATTTTCTTTACTGCCAGCCTCTCACAAAGCACTCCAATTTCACTTGGATTATAGATCCTAGAGAAGATGATAGGGTTGCTGAGAACAAAATAAAAAGGTTGAAATGAAATGGGAGCTGTACTTACTATATCAAGGGGCACCAGTTCTCTGAGGACACTGCCTGGAAACAGCTCCTGATTTTCTGGCTGATGGAGTTTTGATCCAAGTTCTGGCTATTGGCGAATGCTGAGCCCCCACGGCCTTTCACAAAATCTCTTTACCAGGGGATTTGACCTCAAGGGAGTCAGTCCTGTGGGGGAATGGTTGAGGGTCTATGTAATGTGAACTCCTGGGAGAGCTGTTGGGAGCCATGGAGCTGAAGAACTTCACATCTCTTCTCAACTCACTGGTCCCTCTCTCCTTTCTTTCCCCTTTTCCTTCTTTTGTCTGATTCCTTTCAAAATGTAGTTCAGAGATTGTCTTCTGCCTTAGCAGCCTAAAGCAAACGTATCTGTCCACAGCCAGAGTGGCAGGACTGTCAGTCAGATGTTGCAGCTGGGAATCTGGATCATTTCAGGAATTCTAGCAGCCTCATTGCCCCCACCTCAGCTCAGCATCCTCCAAGCCCTTGCATCAGTGTACCTGAAAAGTCCAGTTAGCAATGTAGGTAGTACCCCAGCTTTGAAAGTGGATGAGGTGGTACTGATACTAGAAAGCTGCCTGTTCAATAGTATGAACACGCTGTCCACTCAGGGTTAGTGACCTTTCCTGTTTCCCCTCTTGGGGAGGACATTTAGGAATAGACTATTCAAATCTGTATATTTAAATTTGAATGAGGTGTATATCTGTATATTTAAATCTGAACTCTTAGGATGCCTTTTTGTTTTTTTAAAAAAATTACTCGTGTGTGTGTGTGTGTGTGTGTGTGTGTGTGTGTGTGTGTGATATAAAAAGATCTTGTGTGTGTGTGTGTGTGTGTGTGTGTGTGTGTGTGTGTAGGTCAGAGTACAACTTGCAGGGGTTCTTTCCTTCCACTGTGTGGGACCCTGGGATGAAAGGCAGGTCCTCAGGGTTGGTGGCAAGTGCCTTTACCTGCTGAGCCATCTTACTGGCCCCTAAGATTCCTTTTCTGTGAACTCTATTGATGTGGCTCTGCCTGCCTTTTCTCTAGGGGAACAAGCAAGCGCAAAGAGCATGGCCAATCTTCTGATGTTTACTTTTGACTCTTTTTCTTTGGGATAGGTGGGAATCTGCCGTCCTGGAGACTTTGGGTCTGATGTCTCTCACCTAAATCTTCATAAGACCTTCTGCATTCCCCATGGAGGAGGTGGCCCTGGCATGGGGCCCATTGGAGTGTGAGTTCTGGGCTGCTTATTTCAGGATAGCTTTTTGGAAGCAGGATAGCACCAAGGATACCTTCATATATGGTTCACTTGGGTGGCTGGGTGCAGAACTGAGCAAGGAGTATTTTTAAGAGTATGTCCAAGAAAAGTAACCAGTAACTGGGCCTCACTGAGCTGGAAGCTCAGTGCTGTGTCTAGACAGAGAGGGCTTGTGTCCTAGTTTGTCTCTCCATTGCTGTGACAAAACATTCTGACCAATACCAACTTGGGGAGGGAAGGATTTATTTAGCTTACATATCCCGGGTCACAGTTCATCCGGGAGCCCAAGGTAGAAGGAACTCAGGGCAGGAACCTGGAGGCAGCAGCTGTATCACAGGCCATGGAGGAACGCTGCTTACTGGCTTGCTCCCTGGCCCCTGCTCAGCCTGCTTTCTTATGCAACACAGGCCCACCTGCCCAGGGGTGGCACCACCCACAGTGGGCTGGGCCCTCCCATATCACTCATCAAGAAGATGCCCCTCAGACATGGCCACAGGCCAGTCCAATAAGAGGCAATTCCCCAGTTGAGGCTCCCTAAACCCAGGTGTGTCAAATTGACATTAAACCTATCCGGCACAGCTTAACAGTAATGAGCATGGAGCTTTACTTCCATATTAGGGGTCAGAACTGGAATATTTTTTATAGAGCATTCCAGTCCCAGGTGCTTCATCAGCGGGTATGTATTGAGTGGTTGGTTTTCCTGTGTTGGCCTTCAGGTAGAGCTCCTGGGGCATCTTCTCATCAGCAGCTCAGTAGATGGGGTGGAAGGGGTATGAGGGATGCTATGAGGGCCTTCCTGCCTCTACCAAATCCTCCACCATTGTTCTTGGGTAAGCTGTTGGGTACTGGAGGCTGTAGAGGAGGAAGGAAGGAAGTGAAAGAACCTTTCTTTGGTTCTTTCCTTGTTTCTTGTCCCCTAGAGGTGTGAGGTCCCTTCAGCTGTCAGAGACGGCCCAGAACTTGCCTATTTGGTTCAATTGTATCTTTTTGCATCTTTTCAATGTGCATTTTAAAAAACAATACAGGAAGAAGCATCTCGCCCCATTTCTGCCCAGTCATCCCATCATTTCCATAAAGCCAAATGTGGACACCTGGCCTGTGGGGACTGTCAGCGCAGCCCCATGGGGCTCCAGTTCTATCTTGCCCATTTCGTGGGCTTATATTAAGGTGAGGCCTGAGTATATGTGTTGCTGGGTGGAGGGAGTAATATATGGGTGGGGAAGTGGGATTGCAGACTTTTGGTGGGCGGATTTAAAAATGAAATCCATGGCTCAACATGAAAGTCGGTGAACATGACTGATGACAGGGTGGAAGAAGCATGAAAGAGATCAGCTAGAATTCATTTCATCACGTCTGGGGTTTACATTTTTCCAGACAGAGTCAAGTTTCATGAATCATGAGGATGTTTTGGCCACACCATTTGATTTCCTGTCAGATTCAGGCAGCCGCTCAAGGCAAAAAGCCCGAGATACTAAGACAGATTTTAGGGATACATCTCACCTCACTTTGTATTTCTTTGTGGCCTGGAGGATAAGATGAAAAGTGGTAGAAATTTGCCTTCTGAAAGCCCTGCCCTTTAGGACTTGGGGAGCTACATTTTCTGAGTCATTGGGCTTTGTCAGAAAACAAGTTTCCTCTCTTTCATCACAAAAACATCAGCCAGTTTACTTTATATAGCTCTTGTTCAAACTGGCCTTCCCACCTCCTAGAATGTCAAATCTGTGGACAGGAACATTTGCTCAGCTGTTAATTAGAGTAGTTTCTCTAAGCCAGCGACCCTTGTTAAAGAGTGGCTGCTGGTGAGACAAAACCCCAAACACAGCTATGTAAATCATGCTGAATGACTGTGTGGGGCTGGCTGTTATTCTTGAACAGTGTGGCATTTGTGATTTTTCTTAAGCTTATTTTCTAGTTTGAGGCAGGGTCTCCTTATATTATCCAGGCTGGCTTCAAACTTACGATTCTCTTGCATCAGCCTCCCAAGTGTAGGATTTGGGGCATGCTTAGGTTATCATGGCCGGATGGTATTTATGATACCCTTTTTTGTTTTTGAGACAGGATCAAATATTCAAAGGCTAGCTTTGTGCTCCTAATCCTGCCGCCTCTACCTCCCTAGTGTTGCTATTAGAAGCATGCACAACAATCCATGCCCAGCTGAATTTATGATTCTTAAGGAGAAGTTTGATTCTGTGCCTCAGAGACACAAAACTGCTGTTTAAAATGATACACAAGTTGTTTGCAAATTATGGAAACAAAAACAACAAGAATGAAAATCTGCTTCTTTGCAAACAATCAAATTCCCATTTCCCTTTGATGGGTGGGTCCCATAAATACGGATTATTTGTACAGTCATATTTGGGCTGGAGATGTTTCTCACATATAGAAAATAAATGCCCTGAGGCTGGTTTGGCCATATGCCTAGAATACCAAATGGAGCATCAATTTAAAAACTAAATAGCAGTGTTTAAGCGAGTCTTTTCTTACTCTCTAACCAGGCTGTCCATTCTCCCCTGGACTGGAGCTCCAGCCTTTCCTCCATGCTGAGGTCCATCTTGGATACTCCCTCAGCATATAAGCTTCTCCTGGCTTCCTTCTATCCTTATTGGGTGCTCTCACCAGCATATGCCTTAGTCCCATTCCATACGGAATCAAATCCAGCCAGTGTGGACTTGAGTGGTTCGACTTTTGAGAAAGATGCTTGGTGGTTCTGACATGTAGGTTGGTCGGCTGAACCAGGTCCATGTCCCTTCAAGCAAAGGTTTGACCAGGAGGTCACAATCTGTTGTTATGATGACTCCCAGGTGACAGTCATGTATGTTTCCCACACTTCAGCTTTGGTCAGTCTTCCCATTTAGCATGGTTCCCCTTTCTCTTTGCAGATCCAAGTTTCTAGTCTAGTTTTGGCTTTTACTCTGGGAACATTTCTTTGACTGACATGGTAGGGGGCATGTGCCCTCCCCTTACTTTGAACTTTGTACTTCTGTTGTTTTATTTAGTATTTTATTTAGTGTACTTTATCTATATCAAGGGTCCCTTGTTTATGAGGTCCCTCAATCATGAGAATTGGTGTAATTTTGATTTTTTTTTTCTCTCTCTCTTTAGCCCCACCTGGTCTGGAACTCGCAATGTTGACCAGGCTGACCTCAAACTCACAGAGATCTGCTTGCCTCTGCCTCCCATGTGCACCACCACGCCTGGCTTATAACCTTGATTTTAAGTCTTTTGCTCTTTGTGACTTTTACCCTGTGTGACAGTAAGGGTTTATTCACCACCAGAATAAGGGAACATTGAATCTGACAATTGTTAAACATCAATATGAACAATGTTTATGTTCTTCACTGTAGACAATGGGAAGACAAACTACAGAAAACTGATCTAATGTATTTTGACCAAGATTTAATCAGATTCCTGAAAATTATCATTACATCTCAAATTCACAGTAAACAAAAGCAAACATTAACCTAAGGACACAAATAACCTAAGGACAGTTCTTTTCCTATTTAGAAAACAGCAGTCAGCTGTGCCTGTGGCTTTGTTACTCTGACTCCTGCCCCCAAAGTAAAAGTAATGCATAAAGGAAAAAGACAAAAATTCTTTCACGCGTGGAGGAGGCTAATAGGTCTTGTTCTTGGGACTTTTCTGCATTTATGGTTGGTTGTTATCTCTTTTGAGTGAATGTGTTTGGGGGCCTCTGCTTAATATCTTGTCCGTTCAACTCACCTATTCAATGATGATGACTCTTTTTTTCCTTTGTTGCAGATGATGGGAGGAAAGGGCCTTAAAGAGGCCACAGAAATTGCTATTTTAAATGCCAACTACATGGCCAAGCGATTAGAAAAACACTACAGAGTCCTTTTTAGGGGTGCAAGAGGCAAGTATCTACTTTTTTTTTTTGGTCCTTATGGTCAGACTAAGCTTGACTTAGGCATATAGTTTGTGAGATGGGAAGAGGACTTCTGTTTCTGAGTACATACCAAAAAAAGTGTAGAATTCTTGAAAATAACTTCAAATTACTCAAGAGTATTACGATGTATATGCCTTAACCTAGTCTACACAGCATAGCTCAGTAAGGGGGCAAGGGGGCCCACATTGCTGAGAGATCTATATATAACCACCATGAGCTAATCATTCAGAAAGTGCTGTAAGGTGTCTGAAAGTGGAGCCATTCATACTGAGCAGAGTCTGAATGGAGAGCTGAGAGAGACTTCCAGAGATGGCTATTTAAGATGTGTAGACAGGTAGCCGGGCATGGGCCTTTAGTCCCAGTACTCAGGAGGCCGAGACAAGCAGAAGCAGGCAGATCTATGTGAGTTCAAGTCCAGCCTGGTCTACATAGTGAGTTCCAGGCCAGCTGGGGCTACAGGAAGACCGTTTCAAAACAAACAAACAACAACAATAAATAAATAAATGAAAGAAAGAAAGAAAGGAAAGAAAGAAAAAAGAAAGAAAGGAAGAAAGAAAGAAAGAGAAAGAAAGAAAGAAAGAAAGAAAGAAAGAAAGAAAGAAAGAAAGAAAGAAAGAAAGAAAGAAAGAAAGAAAGAATGTGCAGATAGATTTAGGAGCCAGCCAGGTAAAAAGGTGTTGCCTAGGAATTGTGGGTAGTTTCAAGTGGGATAGGAGGAGAGGGGGCCCATGGGATGAGGTTGAAAAGACCACTTGGAACCTTGAAGGTCTTGGAAGAGCCTGGACTAAGCTCTTGAGTCAGACAATAACCATTAAAAGTTTTCCAGCACAGTGACATGTTTGAATTCATTAGGCCAGCCTGGTCTACACAGTGAGTTCCAGGCCATTCAGAACTACATAGTAAGACCCTATCACCTGAGAGATAGAGGAGAGAGAGAGAGAGAGAGAGAGAGAGAGAGAGAGAGAGAGAGAGAGAGAGAGAGAGAGAGAAAGCCTGAAAATTGTTAAGAAATTGGGATGAGTAGGTTCTTGAAAGTAGACTCTGTTGGATATAGTTATTGATTAGCTCAATGTGAAGATAAATTTTAGGTAAACCTTTCAGGTTTGCACTAATGCCTAGGAGAACAAAGCTGCCCTAGACAGGAGGTGGTGGAGGTAAGAACCAGGTAGGGACTGAAGAGATGACTTAGCAGTAAAGAGTACTTACTGCCCTTCCGGAGCACCCTTGCGTGGTTCCCAGCACCCACATAAAGCAGCTCACAACCACATATAATGCTAGCTCCAGGGGATCCAGGGACCCTCTTTGGGCACCCGCACACAGATGGTATACACACACACACACACACACACGCACATACAAATAAATAAATAAATAAATAAATAAATAATAAAAAATAGAACAAGGTAGATATTTGACTGCTGCTGCACAGTCCAAGAGAATCAGAAGGAGAAGCAAGGAAAGAATATTGAGCAGTGAGGGCAAAGCACCTCTAGCAGATGGTGGCATTAGAAGGATGTACTAGGTTGGGGGTATGCATGTCAGGGGTTGCCTTTGTCCTAGTTCCTCTTCCTAGAAAGCCCCCTGCTGCTTGTCTTCCCCACATTTCTCTGACTCTGCCTCTCCTCCCTGAAGCTTCTCTTTCCTGAGGGTGAGAGCCCTCCCTCCTAAGCTCTCTGCACCAGGAAAAAGACTGTAAGGGAGAAGATAGAAGCTACAATACACAGAAGCTGATGGGAGAGCTGTCCCCTGAGTGGGAAAAGTGGAGGTAGAAGTCAGGTCATCCTCCAGAGCATCAGCCATGAGCCAAAATGAGATCCAAGCAGAGGCAGGGCCTTGGAACTGAGAGTAGAGAGCAGCCAGACCTCCCTATCAGCCATGCCAGACAGTCTACATCTGCACCTGTAAGCTCTAATTTAAAGGATGATCTGACCTTATAGATATGGAACTAAAGGAGAGCTTCAGGAGTTTGAAAATAGAAAAGAAGTAAACAACCACCATTCCTAGGTAGGAATGCTCTCCAGGGAGTAGGAGAGAAAGTGGTGGAAGCAAATATGTCGCTAAGCAACACAATAGAAGGCTTCTGCAGTGGGTGCCAAAAAGTGCTAGTTACTCGTTAATTCAATCGCCCTGGTGCTGTGAAATCTGTCCTGCTGTGCATTTGCTTTGAAGATTAGCATAAATATTTATTTAGTCTGGTTATATAAGGAATGAATATTATTCAACAGAAATTTGGGAAGAAAGAAAAGCATAAGGAAGGAATCTTAAATGATCCATGCTTTCCACCAGCCAGACAAATCCAACATTTAATAGTTTGCCGCATTCCTTTTCACCTTTTGCTTATCCAAACTATGGGTCTGAAGGTGGGGCACGGTAGTGCATGCCTTTAATTAATCCCAGCACTCAGGAAACAGAAGCAGGCAGATCTCCGTGAGTTCCAGCCCAGCCTGGTCTACATAGTGGGTTCCAGGCCAGCTGGGATGACAGTGAGACCCTGTCTCAAAAAACCCAAAACAACAAAAAAACAGTTTGGTTTTTGTGGTGAGGGGTTTTGGGTACACTCATCTGTACAGGTACAGTACTTGTAGAGGCCGTGGGTGACATCAGGATGCTTTCCTCAATAGCTTTTCTCTCTTGCCTGACTTATCAAATCCCTGGGATCCACCTGTCCTGTCCCATCCTGTGTCCCGTCCTCCCCCTCCCCTGCCCCCCACAGTGCTGCCAGTTTTTTATGTGGTTGCTGGGGTTCCAAATTCATACTTGTCTAGCAAGCAAGCACTTCACCCCATTGAGTCATCTCCCCAGACCTACTGATAGTTTATTTTTAAGAACTTGTTATGCATATTAGTGTTTGCCTGCATGTATATAAGTGCATCATGTGTGCAGTGCCCATGGAGGCCAGAAGAGATCATTGGATCCCCATGGGTGCTGGCAACTGAAACTATATCGTCTTAATCACTGAGCCATCTCTCCAGCCCTGACAAATAATTTTTATCTTGCTCTTTATCTCTTGACCATTTTCCCCATATGATTAACTATTCTCTGACTGTGGCAGTGTGAACTCTGTGTGTGGATGCCCTGTGAGTCTGTGGTTATATTTTAGTTGTTTGCATTTGTAAAAATGCTACAATGAGGATCCTTCAGGTAGACTTTTTTTTTAAGAGAAAATCATTGTTGATTATTTATGTTACTCATAGAAGAGAAATTATCCCACAGGATATGAATGCTTTAAGTTCTTTATACATTTGTCCTCAATTTTTCTTCAGAAATTTTGTGTCAATTTTATGGTCATAGTATTGAGAGTGACCATCACACCAGAGTCTAGTGAAAATAGACTGAAAAACAGCAAAAGTTTAAAAAACCTTTGCTGGGCTAGAGAGATGGCTCAGAGGTTAAGAGGATTGGCTGCTCTTGCAGAGGACCTGGGTTCAATTTCCAGCATCCACATGGTGGCTAACAACTGCATCTCCAGTTCTAGGGAATCCAATACCTTCTTCTGTCCTCGTGGGCATTGCACAGCACAGATGCACTTACACACATGCAGGTAATACACGCATACACACAAAATAAAAATGATAAATAAAATATTTAAAAAAAAAACCTTTGCCAATTTGGTGAATGAAAAAATTGCTTGACTTATTTTTAAAAATATTTTATTTATTTTATTTTATGGGCATGGGTGTATTGCCTGCATGTAAGTAAGTGCACCTGTATTGTGCAGCGGAGGTCACAATCACAGGAGTGTTGAATCTCCTGGGAGCTGGAGTTACAGATAGTTGTTTGCCTTCATGTGGGTGCTGGGAATTGAACGTGGGTCCTCTACAAGAGCAGCCAGTGCTCTTAACTGCTGAGCCATCTCTCCAGCCCTTATTTTCTTTCAGACAGGGTCTCACTATGTAGTCCTGGCTGACCTGGAACTTGCCATGTAGATTAGGCTGGCCTTAGACTCACAGTATTAATTTCATTTTATGTGTGTGTGTGTGTGTGTGTGTGTGTGTGTGTGTGTGTGTGGTGCTGTTAGGTATTGAACCTAAAGCCTCATGCTTGCTAGGCATGACTCTACCAATTGAACTATATCCTAGCCCTTAATTCTTTATATTTTGAATGCCTTTATATTTAAGTTTTTGGCAGCCTTGTTAAAATCAAATTCATATGCCACATTATTCAATTTGTTCATTTAAAGTGCATGACTCAGTGATTTTTCCCCCTTTGGGTTTTTTTGAGACAGGGTCTCCCTGTAGCCTCAGCTGGCCTGAATTCACTATGTAGACCAGGCTGGCCTTGAACTCACAGAGATCTGCCTGCCTCTGCCTCCCGAGTGCCAGACTAAAGGTGTGTACCACCACACCCCAGCTCCAGTGATTCTTTTATTATATGTTCACAGAATGGAAAGTGTAGTTATGAAAAAGGGGAATGAATGTGACTTCAACTGAGTGGGGGTAGTTGGCATCCAGGAGGAAAGGTCAGATGCCACCTTATGCTTAGCGTTTATGCAGCGGCTTCAGGCACAGACTCTCCTCTCCTTCGGGACCCATAGTACAAAAAGATAGATGAAATTTCCATTTGTTTTGACATTTTACCCCAGAATTAAATAACAAGGAGTATTTTTCATTCCAAACAGAAATGGATTGTTGATTATAGACTTTATTACTCAATCCCAAGTTCATGAAACCAAAAAATTGTCTTATGTTGGTCTGGTAAGCACATTCATGACACAATTTGGATTTCATATCTTGGGTCCTGAAAGGCCAGCATCACTTTACCTCCTGAGGGCTCAAAAGAGCAGTGTTTTAAATAATCATGTTGTATTCTAAACTGTCTAATGGCACTATTAGAAGACTGCTATTCATCTTAGTCATATTTACCAGCTCTAAACCAGGAGCTGGAATTATGAGTGCCTGTGAGGCAGTCATTTTAATGAACTCCAGGCTTGCCTGTGTGAACTGTTCTCTGAGATCTGAATGCCAACT